TCTTACTTGAGATCACCTTATTCAGAATTACACCACTTCAGAACAGGCAATAGGTAAGGTCCAAGATCCTAACCATTTCCCACCACCTGTGACTCCTTTCCTAACATCACACTCAGCTACTGCTTCCTGATTCTTAACTCAGTGAACTGGAAACCAACCACGCACATAAATCTTTGCACCTAATACCAACCAACCTCTGTCCTCACAGGTCCATTCCTTGTGTTTCACTTTGTCCTCCTCTGCGTGGTTTTTAAAAGCTGGCACTAAGATCTTGAAGAGTCTATAATGGTCATTCCCACATTAGTACCTGTGTTACACTCTCTGTCTCCCCACCTCCCAGGTCTGCCACTCAGGGGCAGGTTATGTCACAGAATGGGTCTGGGAGGAAGCCATGCACCACAGATCCACTTTCCTGGACAATGGGTTGGGACACATTCAATGCCAGGTTCATCTGGAACCTGCAGGAACATCATGGAAGCAGGCCCTGGGGACTTTAGCTCATTCTCACACCATCCAAGTCAGTATTATTTCTCCCTCATTAAAGGAGAAAACCAATGCCAATCCCTTAAAATGGATGTATTCATTCAATAGGCTGCTTTATCAACTTTAAATCATTTATATGCTGTATTTAACCAGAGCAACAAAAGCAATTTTATCATGCAAAAAAATTTACATGGCTCCATTTCCTAATGGTTGAGGGCTTCTGGCTGGCTGCGGTTTTATTATTATTTTTTTAATTTTTATTCATTTATTTATTTTTATTAGAAGGGCAATTTACAGAGAAAAAGAGAGACAAAAATTTTCCATCTACTGGTTCACTCCTCAAATGGACACAATGGCCAGAACTGAACTAATTCAAAGCCAGGAGTTAGGAGCTTCTTCCGGGTCTCCCACTCAAGTAGAGTCCCAAGGCTTTGGGTCATCCTCTGCTGCTTTCCCAGGCCATAAGCAGGAATATGTGCAAGTCTGATGTGGCGCTCCTACTACTTTTTTTTTTTTAACTTTTCTAGAGAAAGATTTACTTCCAGTTTTGTCATAAATGCTTGTGGTGAGGTTCCCTACACCCAGTTCCATACACACCATATTACTGCTACCTTTTTAAGAGGTGCTAGGAAAATAGGTTATCATTATGAAAAAAGAAATACATAAAATAAACTGAATCTCTAATCATACTATATCCTGAAATGAAGTCAGAAGGATTAAAAACAGAAATGTAGGGGCCAGCATTGTGGTATATCAGAGTAAGATGCCAAGTGCCACACCATCATCCTAAATGGGAGCCAGTTCCAGTCCCAGCTGTTCCACTTCTGATCCAGCTCCCTGCTGATGTTCTTGGGGAAGCAGATACTTGGGCCTCTGTCACCCATGTGGGAGACCCAAATAAAGCACCTGGCTTCTGGCTTCCCTGTTTTAGCCATTAGGGGAGTACTCTACAAGATGGAAAACTTTGCTTTGTCTCTAACTCTCTCTCTCTGTCACTCTGCCTTTCAAATAACTAAATAAATCCTTGCAACAAAACCTGAAATGTGAAAGGCAAAAATTTAAACTTTCAGCAGAAAATAAAGAATATGCTTTTACAATATTGGGGTAAAGTGTAACTAAGAAATGAACATATGCAGAAACACATGCTCTAGATTAAAATATATATATGTATATATGTATATGTATATATATAAGCTCAACTATACTAAAATTAAGATATATTTTCATTGTGATAAACCAAAGCACAAACTGGGAGATGAAATTTTCAACAAACAGAACTGACAAAGGATTCGTTTTCACCACATAAAAGAGTGCCTACAGAATGACAAAAGTAAAAAACACAATAGAAAAATGAAAATACTGACTATACACATAACATATAAAAGTATAATGGTATGGTTTGAAAGATTGTGTCCCCCTCCAAAATTCAGGTTGAAACATAATAGTATTGAGAGATGTGGCCCTTGGGAAGTGATTGAATCCTGTCTTGTAGAAAGGCATGAGATTGAAGAGAGCACTCTCTCGAACTTTAAGACCTTCTATCTCATGCATCTACTGCTCTCCCTTCTGGAAGATTCTACAAGGTATCATCAGTCGACATCAAATTTGTCAGCACTTTGATCTTAGACTCTAGAATGGTGAGAAACAGATTCCTGTTGCTTATGGATCACCCAGTCTTAAGCATTTGGCCATAGAAACACAAAAAGAACTAAGAAAGATACTCAACTTTGCTTGTTTCTTTTTTAATCATCTTCACACTTTAAGTATATAGTTGCATTAAGTGCTTTTTGAATTACAAATTTCCATAGCCAAACTGAAATTCTGTACCCATTAAACCACAAGTCTCTAATTTCCCTTCTTCTCCCCACTTTCTAATACTATTCTACTTTCCACTTTTATGAGTGTAACTACTTTGGACACCTCATATTATGACCTGAATAGTGTTTTATATACCCCACAAATTCTTATATTGAGAACCTAACCCCCAGTACTTCAGAATATCAATACATTTGGAGATAAAGCCCTTAAAAAGACAGTACACACCCATCTATAGGCCTCTGTGTTAACTATGACAAAATGCCAGGATAATTCCATATTCTTTTGTATTTTTTTTAAAGATCTAGGAAGAAAAAGGCAGAATGCTCACTCTGTCACCACAGGTACCCACCAGCCAGGGCCACCCTACCACCATCACCAGCACCAAGCACATGGTGTCAGGGCAGGAGGGTATACATTGCTAGCCTTTCAGGGGACTGAGGACAGGTAGGAGTGGGGGCTACTGAGGGCTTTTTTTAACTCATATAAAATGAATTCTGGGGGCTACTATGAACCAGGCCACTGCGTCCACAGGTAACAGAAGCAGCTATGATGTAAGAGGGAGTGAGGAGATCCAGAGAGCAACTCTGGGTCACTACAAAGCACTCGCTTGCGCACAGAATAATCGGAGCTGGGGGCAAACCAGGCCAGGCTGGGCTGCAGCACCTAAGGAAACTGAGGAATCCTTGAGGAACCTGTTAGGCTGCAGAACCCACAAGTGCACACAAAAGCTGGGGCTGGTATATCGGTTGGCTAGTGCAGGTAGCAGACTGAGCTCAACCCTGTATCAGCTGGCGTCCACGAGAGAAGGTCTGAAGCTTCCCTGCCCCAACCAGGTGAAGTTTTTTGGTGGTCTCTCCAATTATACCACTCACTGTACTTGACCCCCAATCTCAGGGAAAGTCACACAAACATGTGGTCCAACCCTAGAGCACATGTTGCAAGACTAGGCCCTCTCAGTTTCTGACCCTTGCGTAACAATGAGAACATATCCAGATGAGCACAAAAGTGAAGACAGCCAGCTTATCTAAACCAACACAAGACTTGGAGTGCCTCATCTGAACGTGAAAAGGGCAGGTTGAAACCCTGAAGACTCCTGGATCCTCACCAAGGACTATCAGTACAAGCACCTAGGATTACATCCCAACTGCCAAGGAGACCACAGGGAATTGGAGTGCCTTCGGAGGCTAAGAACTCTGAGGTCAACCATTCCCTATTGGATCTCCCACATGGGATGGAAGAAGTCCAAATCCTTCCTCGCAGGATCCAAGGTAATCGGAACAACAACCAGGAATCCTGAGCAGTCCGCAGAAACAGAAGAACAGTAAACTTCCTCCGGGACTAGGGAGGGGAGCTTTCTCTGGTCCTCACTTGGTTCCAACTTGGGGTCCCCACCCTCTCTTGCAATGACCATCAAGATCACTCCGGACACCCCTCAAAACAAACAAATAACCAACCAAACAAATAAAAAAATCTAGAATAGATAGACAGAGAACAACAAGGAAAGCTTAGAATCAGACAGGAAACGGTCAGCGTGGATTCACTTATACCTTACTAGGTGGGACACAAAGATTACTTACTCCTCACTAGCGTATTGAAGATTTCTCTGCACACCTCTCCTAAAACTGTTCTGCACCTAAACTGTTGACACACATCTTGTTACAGTTATAAGCCAGTCTAGACTACCCGGAAAAAAAGTCAGGTTCAGCAAAATTATGCTTCAATGCTATAAAATGCCAAATATTATAATGAAAATAGACATGAGACAGCTGAACAGTAATCCATAGCCATTTTAAGATGTATAGAACCCGGTTATATATAAACTAAAATTGAAATGTCAATGAAGTAGCCACAGGATGTGGTTAAGAACTCGCATTTTTGTTTAACATATTGGTTACTCAATACAATGTCAATTAATTACATAACATTATAAATTGTTGATGATGTCATGTTGGGGTTTTTAATTGATCGGGATGACACTCTGCTGGCTCTACCTTCAGACCAGAGATGGTCTCCCCAACAAGCTGTTGAACTTATCTGGACAATAAGATGCTGGACTCTATGCTTGGTATATGCTTGCAATGAAACAATCTCAACTGAACTTGAACTGTGGTTATGGAACAAGATGAAGGAATCCACCATGGGGGGAGGGCTTGGAGAGGGGAGGATCCCAGTACCTATAAAACTGTATCACATAATGCAATGTAATTAATAATAATAATAATAATAATAATAATAATAATAATAAAAGGGCAGGTTGAACAGTACTCCAAGCCAGGCTCTACAACAAGCACCTAAGTCTGTGCACACACGGAGACAGATAAGGGCAGCCAACAGGCCTTAGAACTTCTCACCTCTGGTGTAAGGAAACCTACAACTTCTCAGATCAAGACCACTCAAGTAACTCTCAGAACATTCTTCCGCATGTTTGGGGCCTCAAAGGTAACATCAAACAACAGTCTCAGACCCTGAATATTGATGCAGTGTGACAGTAAGGAGCAACACACTTTCATCACTTCCCCCCAACACCCGCAGACACAGGAGAGAAAACTGAAACATTTATTTTACCCACCTTCCCCTCCCAACCAACCAACCCTCTCCATTCTAGTTGGATTTGGAGGCTAATATAGGTCCAAAATTCCTTACCTCTCTAATAAATGTTAAATAAGATAAAATAAAAATTACATATAATTTAATCTTACCTAAGGTCTACATGGATCATGACTCAGTCTTTGATTGGAGTTTGGATAATTACATAATGGTACCTAGAAGTGAGACAGCAGTAAAACAGGAATTAAGAGTTAGTGAAACCATCTCTTAGAGTTCTAAAGATAAATATTGCCCAGTTTTTGCTAAAAATGAAAAAATAAGGCTAATAAATTTTTTCAAAACTACCAGTTTGAGAGCTGATGACGTGCTACATACAGCAGGTTAAGCTGCTCCAGCAATACCAACATCCACGCTAGTGCCAACTGGAGTTCTCGCTGCTCTAGTTGCAATTCAGTTCTCTTCAGATGTGCCTTGACAAGGCAGCAGAAGATAGCACAGGAGCTTCGGCCTCTGCCACTCAAGTGGGAGACACAGATGAAATTCCAGGCTCCTGTTTTCAGCCTTGCTCAGTCTAGGCCGTTGTAGCCATTTGAGAAGTGAACCAGCAAATAGAAGCGCTCTCGCTCCCTCTCCATAATGCTACCTTTCAAATAAATAAATCTCAAGAGTTACAGCACAGCAAATTAAGTTACTGCTTGCAATGCCAGAATCACATATGAATGGCAGATGAAGCCCCAACTGCTCCACTTTTGACCAGCTCACTGCTAACTTGCCTGGAAAATGAGCAAATGCTGTCTCAAGTGCTTGAGCCCCGGCTACCAGCCTGGCAGACCTGGATTAGTTTTAGGCTCCTGACTTTGCCTAGCACAACTCCACTATTTTGTCCATTTGGAGAGTAAACCAGTGGATGGGAGATCTCTCCTTCTCTCCAACACTGTCTTTCAAGTAAATAAATCCTTAAAAAGCAAATGAATAGGAGCTGGCTCTGGCATAGCAAGATAAACCTCCTATAATATCAACATCCATGCTAGTGCCAGTTGGAGTCTTGGCTGCTCCAGTTCCAATTTAGCTCACTTCAAATGTGCCTTGAGAAGACATCAAAAGGTGTTAACAGATCCAGCATCCTATATGGGCAAAAATTTGAGTCACAGCAACTCCGCTTCTGATCCAGTTCCTAGCTAATGGCCTGGGAAAGCAGAAGAGAATGTCCTAAGACTTTGGGTCCTGAAGTCAAATGGGAGATGCAAAAGAAGCTCCTGGCCTTTAGCTTTCGATGCGCTCAGCTCCAGCCATTGCAGCTACATGGGAGTGAAACAGTAGATGAAAAAACTCTAAGACTTTCAAGTAAAATGGTTTTTTTAAAAAGTAAGTAAATAGGGATTAGAGTGCTGACATCACAGGTTATGCCACTGCTTATAACACTAGCATTATCCTTTGGGTATCAGTTCAAATCCCAACTGTGCCACATTCCATCCAGTTGCTTGCTAACAGACCTGGGCAAAAGAGTGGTGCTGGTTTACATCTGGCCAGGCCCATCCCACCCGCTGTAATCATTCGGGGAGGTGAACCAGCAGAAAGAAAATGCGTCTTAGCCTTGCTGTCTGTAACTGCTTTCAAATAAATAAAACCTTTTTTTTTTAAGTTTAAATAAATAAATAAACCTAAATGTAAATTCTAATACACTAAATTGTCCTCACAAAGAAATTTGCGCACATAAGAGAAATCATGCATGGGCACTACAGAGAAAAGATAGCCTTCTACAATGCAAGGGAGAGGGGCCTCAGAAGAAAATCAACCTGCCAGCACCTTGGTTTTAGACTTCTGGCATCCAAAATCTCTGTTGTTCCAGTTGCACATTTTTGGTATTGTGCATCTAAAACCTTTTTTTTTTTTTAATTTTTTTTTTAGTGAGAAGCAGACAGACAGGGCTCCCACCCACTGGTTCACTCCTCAATTAAATGCCTGCCAAAGCCTGGGTTGGGTCAGGCCACAATTGGGAGTCTGGAATCCAATTCATGTCTCCCACACTGGAGGCAAAGATCCAACTACTTGAGTCATTATACTGCACTAGCAAGAAGCTGCAATCAGAGGCCAGTCAGAAATTGAACACAGTTAATCCAGTATGGGTTGAGGATGTCTTACTGTTAGGACTCTAATTTTATGGATTTTGTTTGGGCAGCCTCTCATGTGGTAGATTACAAAAGATCTATTTTGTGACTAGTGTATTTTGTTTCTCAACACTGGCCTATGTCAGAGCACGTGAAAGAATTCCCAGCACCTCAAGGCTGAACAATATTCCATTGCATAGACAGGCTAAGTTCTGCCTGTTTCCTTTATCTAGTCATGACGGGGTCATTCTCACCTCTTGGCTGTTGTAACCAATGCTATTTTGAACATGGTTATGCAAGTAGTTGAGATTCTGCTTTCAATTGAAAAAAAAAAACTGCATCTGATAATATAAAAAATTGATGAGGGCAGATTTTTAAAAAGAAACACTCCTACACACTGCTAGTGGGTGTGTACATTAACAATCTTTTCTGCAAAACAACTTGACATTTGTAACATGAACATAATTCTTCCCCATAATTCAGCATCACAATTAGCATTTATTAAACAATGGAGAGATACATATTTGCTTTACTATTCTGAGAAACATTATTTTCTTACAAGTGAATGTACTTACTGGGTGAAAAACACCAGTTGTACTTCCTATGCTGAGGGCGGCTGTCAGAAAGATTGAAAGCTTGCCTGGCACCAGCAGGATGTATATTCATTCCTCATAATAATAAAAAGTGGAAATGACTCAAATGTCCAGTTGAATTATAAAGTCATGGCACTTTCACACCAGAAAATTCTGTAAGGCAATGAAAAGGAACCCATGAAACTTAGGTAGACTTCAGTAGAAAAAAAATTATTGGAAAAATTTCATAAAGCTCAAGAGTGTAAAATTCAGCAACACCTTGTTTAGAGATACACAAATAAGAAGAAAATACACAATAAGTATAAATTAGTAAGCTAAGAATAACAGAAAAACAGGAATAATTTGGCAATTAGGTGAAACAAGGAAGAAAACGCATGGTAACATTCTAGTTCTTATGTGTATTGATATGCACCATAATCTAAATTTACACTAAACACATAAGTACACATTGTTAACAATGTACACATTTACAAAAAATTGTAACTGTACATCCTCTTTTGGCACAGTAATGAGTCAACACTCACAAAAATTGGATTTCCTGAAAAACTGGTTGACACAAGCGCAAATCGCCTGTGAGCATGTCAAACAGGGACCTGTATAGTTTTTTGTAAACTCTATGTACACCTCTCAGTCTCTTGAGGGAAGCAGCTAGGAACACGAGCCCTGGCAACGACACTACCTCAAGCACGAAAATGCACTGTGTGCTTTTCCCGAGCTTGTCAGTTAAAGGAAGGGAAAAAATATCACACTCAGAAAATGTGCCAGAGCTGTGAGGGCTCAGCGTTCAGGAACTCCAGCCAAATGGTGCCCCGTGCTGTTTTACACACACACAGGTCACTCCGAGCCAGTAACGGTGGGAGGATTTAACTGTTCAGAACCACTTCTCTTCGTTATCAACTCGTCATTAGAATCCGTTTTCTTTACTTTCCTTTAAATTAGCTTGAGGCAGCGCATGTGAACTAAGAAGAAAGCAACTGGTTCATTTCCCAGCAGTGGCTTGAAAGGACCAACCGAAAAAGTGCTCATGAGAGAAAAGAGACACGTTGAAGAAAACGGAAAAGAAATCCCCAAGATTTAAAGGGACTGTGGAACCTGAAAATACGGATATTTTCACCGCCAGACTTCTAGAAGAATGTGCAAGGCTCGAGAAAAACTTTCAGGGGCTCCTTTTTTTTTTTTGTCAGTGTCGTATAACAGCTTGGAAAATCCGTGCCTTTTAAACTACACAAGAAGCAGGGTGGCTCTGCCTCAGCAACGGCCCTGACAAAGATGGCGGTGGGACGAAGCCCCTTCTCCGCCCGCTGCCAAAAGCGTTCGCCTCACATTTCCCACAAACCCCTCCGCGCAGCCCGGCGCGCCGGGACCTACCCGGCCGCTGCCCAACCACTGCGCCTGCGCGGGGCAACGTCACGCGTGCTCCCGGGGCTCGACGGCGCTGGCAGGAGGGGCCTCGCCTGCTTCCGCCGCCGCCGCCGCCGCGTCGCTTCGGGGCTCGGAGGGCGGGTTCGCGCTGCCCCTGCCGCCGCCGCCGCCGCCGCCGCCGCCGGGACGCAGCTCGGGGGCGCGGAGCCGGGCGAGGGGCGCGCGGCGGCGCGGCCATGGGACTGCGCCGGCTCCAGTGACAGCAGGGAGCGGAGCGGCCCGGGCCCTGAGCTCGACTCCTCCAGGGGCCCTCGCCCTCCTGCTCGCGGGGCCGGGGCTCCTGCTGCCGTGGCTGGCGCTGCTGCTGCTGCTGCTGCTGCTGGCGGCTGCGGCGGCGAGGTTCATCATGTCGGGCCGTCGCTGCGCCGGCGGGGGCGCGGCCTGCGCCAGCTCGGCGGCCGAGGTGGTGGAGCCCGCCGCCCGCGAGCTGTTCGAGGCGTGCCGCAACGGGGACGTAGAGCGAGTCAAGAGGCTGGTGACGCCCGAGAAAGTGAACAGCCGCGACACGGCGGGCAGGAAGTCCACCCCGCTCCACTTCGCCGCAGGTAACCGGAGCGGCCGCCGCCTCGCTGCCCCCCACGCCTTACCTGCGCAGCCGGCCTCGCAGGCCCCAACCCCGACAACGCTCCTCCGGTCCCGACCTGAACCCCCACCCCGCTCCCTGGAATCGATCCTGCAGCGCTCGCTCTCCTGGAGGGGGGTGGGCTGAACAGACCCAAGGGTGGGGCGAGCGCGCTCGAAGGGCTTTTTTTTTTTTTTTTTAATTTATTTTAGTTGGGGGAGTATTGGGCTTTGTTTCACGGTATCAACAATACCTGCACCAACTTCCGGTCTCGCTGCCCGAAAAGGCCCCTGCAATACGCAAGGAAGAACTGGGCTTGCAGTGTGCACAGGACTTGTGATTGGAAAAAGCAGTTATCGTCCCCAGAATCTGTTGTTCTTGGAAGTTGCACAGGAGTCTCTTATCAGTGCTTTGGGTTAAGGTCTTAAAGGCCTTTGTAAAATGAAGGACTGTAATGTGGAAAGAGTGGTAATTGGTTTACCGGAGTAGCCAATCATTAGCAAGTTTTGGACTGGCTGCAGCCGGGATTAAGCAAGTTTATGGGAACTGAGTTTCTGGAAGGTAATCTCTGCCGCCCCCACTCCTAACCCCTCCCGACGGTGAGGTGGAAGGCAGAATCAGAAAAAAGATGCTGCAGGTATTGAAATTTGGTTTTAAAATTTCCACTTGAACTGACATCTCATTCTGAGATGTAGATCAGTCCCTTTCAGTGCTGACTAGGTCAGTGAATGATGTAAACAAGTTTGTTTCGGTTCAAATATACAAAAGAAACAAATACATTCGTTTTCATAAATGATTGATTTTTGCCTTGGCACTTTGAAGATGATTTGTGGTCATCTGTAAAACAAGGCGTGGGTAATTGAAAGTGGAGTGAGTTTTCATACCTCAGTTTTTCTGTTTGGTTTTAGGAAAACGTAGGGGTGTATTTTCATTACTGTGCTTGCTCTGTGACACAGGTGAGCAGCATGGGAATATCTGCCAGTTGGAGCAGGCTTGGCTCTAGCCTGTTCCCAGGTGAAATGTGAAGGCCACGGCAGGGTGTGCTCTCTGGAGCATGCACCTTCGTGGGTGCAACTGTTGCTGTTCGGTAGTCTTCTATAAAGAGAAGGTCTGGGAGAGTGTAGGTGGAGAGAGCGAGAGGCAGTGGGCAGTGCAAGATGAGACTAGCCAAATGAGAGCTCACCTGGAGTTAGCCATTTTGTGTGAGCGCGGGGCCATCCTTGCTGCCTGCCTTCAGCTGATTTGGATCATCTTGCTTGACCATGTAGTCAACATTTAACCAACTGAGTTGGCAAACTGTCCGAAGCAACTAATGCGTAATCCAAAGGGTAGTGTTACCGAGGTTCTGTTCCCTTGGTCTGTGGGGTAAAAATAACCAGACAAGACCTTAGTTGCGGCCTTTCAAGAATTCGGTGTATTAATGAGTTCATATCTGGAAATAGTAGTATTTAAAGGTGTAGAGCTGTAGTGTTAGTTTCTCACTGACCTTGTTCTCTGCCACCATCCCACCTTCACTTCTGGCCCAAGTTTTCAAAGCATTTTTTCTACATAGATTTCCTATTATTTGTTGTGAGTGAAGTGGAAAATAAATATTTCAGGAGCCACCCCCAGTTTACCCAAATTATCACATACAGATTATCAGATTTGAATTTAAGGTATAAAAAGAGATTAAAAGGAGATTTGGGGAGGGGAAGGGGGAAATCCCAGAGCCTGTGGAACTCTATTGTGAGATAATTTTTAAGGGGGGGGGATTAAAAATTGCTGGGGAGTTTAATGCAAGCATAAGACATCCTGAATTTAAATTCTGGCATATAAGAAACTTGAAAAATTGGCTTTGCAAATCAGTCTAAATTGTTAATTAATGAGAGGAAACCTATTTTTTTTTTAATTTAAGTAGTTGCACCAGGCTTCATTTTTTTTTTTCTGTTACTATGGAAGAGTACATTTTTATGATAGATGGACACTGTGCAACTGCCTGACCAAGGAGTTTGTTTTATGAGACAGTAGGCTTTAGCCAGTTTGGGGGAGGTGATTTTCAGAGAAGCGCAAATTTTTCTTTGTTTCAATTCCCAAGGAACAGTAGCAATAGAAGATGTGCATAGTAAAGAAAAGATGAAGAACCGAGTAAAGGGAAAATAACTTTATCCTTTCACCTGAGGAAAAAAAATCAGTTGCCAAACCCCAGGGAGTTAGGTTCAGTTACTGAAAGCAGACGCTGACGTTGTTTCCTATTCTTCGGCCACTGTCCCTCACTATGCACTGACACACGGGATGGGCATGGTTTGTGTTGAGACATCACAGAACTTGTAAGGCAAGTTGGTGGTGGTAGGCTACATGTAGCTCTAACTTTACTAAAGGCTACAGTCTCTGAAAGTTCTGACCCTAGGAGAGAGCAGATTTCAGGAAAGAAGGCCCTGCCTCCCTGAACTGATTTTTTTGAAAATCGAAGATGACAAGTTTGGGGAGGAAGTCACCTTCGTGTACCCATCATCGTGAAAGAATGGTATTCCTTAGAATCTTAGAACTGGAGGAGTGAAGGTGGTAGCTTAAGAACTCTATAGCTTGGCAGTCTTACTGCTTCCTGGGAGTGTTCAGAGAATTGTCCTTAAATGAAGAAAATTAAAGTCACTTAATTGGGTTCAAGAAATTGAGGAGCATACTTGGGAAGAGCTGATATGTGTGTGTTATGGAGGATGACAAATGGAAGACTGCACTGCCAAGTCCTAGCCAGAAATGAACACTTGTTTTGTTTTTGCAGGCTATGTTATTATGTATTTGTAGTAAAGTACTCAGCCATGTACTTTGGACCAGTTACACTGAACTTGTATCAAGTCTGTGAATTGTGTTTAATAAGGAATTTGTATTGCTGTTATTGACAGGAGTAAAGTTTGAATTAGAGCATGTGCAATCTGCCATACAAGAAACAAAGTGACAAACTGGAGTTACATGTTTTAGAGATGAAAGACGTGTTACTATCATCAAGGCATATAGCCGCATCAGTGGATAGTGATTTGTGTGGCTTTAGCCATAGAAACTAAGTCCGTTGGGTGAAAGGTTGTAAGAAGTTAGGCAACGTTTAACAGTTTCTTGAGCAGTGAAGCTGGAAGTGCCTGAGCAGTGGTTGGATTGGCATGTTTGAAGCGAGGCTTTAGGTAGGATTTCTATGGAGAGTGGGTTCTTTGTCATCAGTTCATAATCTGAGTGGAATAAGAAAGTGAGATGACTCCACTAATCAGAGGTCTTGGTAAGTCAGCTACCCAGGACATGGTAGCTTGTGTGATTGCTCTTCGTGTATTTTCTCAAAATGATGCTGTTTCAGACTCCAAGAACTTTTCCTTACAATAAAGATTGTTTTGTATTTGGAAGGCAGGATGACAGAAAATGGGAAAGAAAGAGATCTTGCATCCTCTTGGTTGCTCCTCAGATAAGGGCCGCCGCTGGGTCTTGGCCAGATCAGGAGCCTAGACCTCTTGTGCGGTGGCAGGGGCCCAAGCAGTTAGGCTATCATCCACAGCCGACCAGCCACGTCAACAAAGGGTTGGACCAGAAGTGGAGCAGCCAGTGCTTGAACCAGCACTCTGACATGCACTGCTGGTGTCAAGGGTTACAGCTACCCACTATACCACAACATCAGCCCCTCCTAATAATCTCAGAAGCATTTCCTTCCTTGGTTGTAGGCCAGCATGCATAGAATTCTGCCTAGAACTACAGTGATTTTCAAGGTTAATTTTGTTTGTTTTTGCTGTCGAAAATAATTAAATCCTACATAAACAGAAAAGCCTAATAAGTGAAGATCAAACTATCCCAGAATTCAATACTTTTCTTTATTCATCAAATCTGTGTTACATGAGAATCTTAAGCTACACCTTTTTCCTCAGCATTTGTTGGACTCAGACAGTTGACTTCACTAACAACTAATTTGATGTCAACCTTCCCTCGGGCCCAGCGTGGTAGCCTAGCAGCTAAAATCTTTGCCTCGCATGCGTCAGGAACCCATATGGGCCCCGGTTCGTATCCCCGCAGCCCACTTGCCATCCAGCTCCTTGCTTGTGGCCTAGAAAAGCAGTCGAAGATGGCCCAAAGCCTTGCACCCACATGGGAGAAGCTCCTGGCTCCTGGCTTCGGGTTGGCTCAGCTCTGGCCGTTGTGACCACCTGGGGAGTGAATCAACAGATACAAGATCCTCTCTCTCTCTGTCCTCTTCTCTGTATATCTGACTTTGCAATAAAAATGAATAAATCATTTTTTTAATGAGGTACACCTTCCCTCATCTATATTGTCACAGTTTTGTTACCTCATAGGCCATGACAACCTTCTAAGTTTCTGTTAATCCAAACAGCTGAACTATCTGTCCCAGTTTGAGATAGGTGGGACCCTCTCCCTTACATGTCTCATTCTAAAGCAATATACATGTAGGAGTAGCATCTGGGTCTCAGTAAATTGAAATTAATGGTAACTAAGAGGCTTATAATGAAATTGCTGTGGAAAAGTTGTCATCTGTAGCCTGGCTGGAAGCCAACACAGTGGCATAACAGACTAACCCTCCACCTGCCAGTATGTACATCCCACATGGGCTCCAGTTCTTGTCCCAGCTGCTCCAATTCCCAATCCAGCTCTCTAATGGCTGGAAAAGCTGTGGAGAATGACTCAAGTCGTTGGCCATCCTGCACAAGAAATCTGGAAGAAGCTCCTAACTCCCAAGTTTGGATCAGCCCAGCTCTGGCAGGTGCAGACATTTGGAGAATCAGCTACCAGATAGAAGATCTCCGTCTGTCTCCATCTCTTTCTGTAACTCTGACTTTCCAAGTAAAATAAATAAATCTTTAAAATAATAACCTGTCTGAGCTTGAAGGCCACTTGGTTATACCTGTCCATCTCCCAAGCCTTGAAAACTCACTTTCTGTTTTGTGGCATTTGTGGACATGTTTTGTTTTTGGTTTTCTTCTTTCTAGCAAAGTCGGGTACCATTAGACCGGCAGAACA